CCCCAAAACCCCAAAACCCCAAAACCCCGCTATAAAATTTTTCATGTTATTGTTTGAAAGATTAAAAATCATCAATTTAAAATTTAGAATGTACAAAGATCCCTAGAATCATTAGAATCATAAGGTAAGGAAAACGATCTTATTTATAATATTTCTTGGCATTTTTAGTTCAAAAATTTTCAGTTCACCTTTTTTAGACCCTTTTAAATTTTCTAATTTTGCTTCATCTTATTTTTCCTCTCAATCCTCAAAGCCAATAAAGGATCAAGCTTTCCAGAGTGATACTCCTTTGCAACCTCATTTGCTAAATCAGCTTAATCATGTTCATCCTTGAGTTTATACTCGAAAAGAGTCTATAGAACGACGCTTTCAGCAAAATCAATTTCTTTCAATTTTTCCACTGTTTTCATAAATTCATCGTCTTTTATATTTTGAATAAGCATCTAGTATATTATTTTATCTTTCTCTGTTTTATTCTAGTGTTCAATCTTGTCTACATTTTTTAGAATGCTTTCAAGTTGCTTTCTTTGCCACTTACGCTCCTTTTAGATCTCTAACTCAGCTTTCTTTTCGTTTTCAATTTTTGAGGGTGGATAAAGTCTTAATAGCCTCTTAATATCGTCATCATTAAGTGTAGGTGTTTTTTCTTTAAACTCTACTCGTTAGAGCCCTCTTCTCTTATCATATAATGGACTTAATCTATTTTAGTGATTTTTATCAATATTTCTCTTAATCCTCTGGAAATCAGCTCTGACATTTGGGGGATTGTTAAATATCAATTATCTTATTAATTTATTTTTGTCAATAACCTTTTCTTCTTCAAATATAGATTAAGATTGCTACTCATTAAACTAGGGAACTTAAGTTGATTGCTATTAGAGCTAGGATTAATCATCATTGTTCAGCTGCTGGATGTCATTTGATTATTAAGTGCCAAGCTTTTATAAACTGTTATCCCTAGTGATTGCCTAACTCTATATATATCTTTCTTTAATAGCAGCAGAATATTTTCTATCTCGATTTTCAATGATTGATTATTAATCTTGGCTTAATCTAATTGGTTATAGTTTCCTTCTCAGCATTTAATCGATAGTCTGAACCCTTTTTTGCCTAGGAGAGTTTTGCTAAGATTAAACATACTTTTTGTAGGCCACACTTGTATCTAAATGTGAATTTTAAGTATGTGTATATGCTGCTGTTTACCTGTCAGTTGATTATTCATTTGTTCTAGCAGATGTATCTCCTGGAAATCTCATTAAAGAAATAAAGGTCTTTTCATTTTATTAATTCCTTGTACCTCTTTTTTAATTACTAATACTTTGGTTTGTAGTTGTAAATGCCCCATCCAAATTTAACTTTTTTATTTAAGGAAGTTGGTTTATAGATCTTGGCTCATTTTAAGTGTCATTAACTTAGATTTCTATGAATTATTTACTATGATCCTAAGATTTAAAGTTTAGGTTCCGAGCATTTTGGAATTATTTAACTTTTGATAACCCAGAGTCATTTGTACTCATATTAGTATCAAAATGATCGATTCTAAATTTACTCCTGTCATCTATTTTGATTGGAGAAGTTACTTACAATTTTTATTCCATGCTCTTGTATAAATTTTTGCTACTTTCCTTTGCATTTGCTAGTTTTGGAGAGTTTCCACCTGTAGAAGAAGTATTAATAGTTAGACTCTCCATTGAATCGTTAAGGTCCTCTATTGGAAGACCATTTGCCTGTTGCTATGATTTGTTTTTAAAATCACTAAGTTTAAATGGTTTTTTCTTTTTCATTTTCTCCGCAAGTATTTACTATAATTGCAGTTATCTATCCTCCTATAGTTTTTTCTTCTTTTCAAACTGATTCAGATAGAATTCCTATCTCTTATCAAGACTAATGTTCAACTTTCTGAGGTCTTTCAGCTTTCTAAACAGAATTTATTCTTACTCAGTAAGGGAGTGCTCTCCTATGTATTAAACTCGCATTAGCACTCTTAAATATTCTTCGTTCATCATATTTGTCTCAACATACTCGCTATTTTTCAAAAGATTTTGGTCCAATATCTCTCTTTAATCTTTCTTATAACGATAGAAAGCTGAGAAGTTATTGCAAATCTGACGGATTTTTTCTCTATAAGGTAATCTCATCGATTTGAGATCAATATTGAATTCTTTGCATATCCTCTTAATTTCTTGCTCTTACTCCTATCTGTAGTTAATCGGTACTTAATTCATTTCTAAAAACTTCTAAATATCATCCTCATCTGCTTTCTTTTTATCTTTCAACAGTTAATATATGTCAGCCTTCTTATCATAGTAGAGTTCTTTAGCCTAAATATGCAACATTCCATCTAATTTGTGCAGATTCTCATTTGTTTTATTTCTAACCTTTTAATAAATACCGTCCATAACCTCAAAGTTTTTAAGATCTTTTCCTATTAGTTCCTACCTAGCTTTATTTAAACTCATCATTTGCTCATTCTTAGGTGACTATAGTAGAACTTCATCTTCTGTTTACTTAAGTTTAATGATGGTCTTGTCCTTTTCTTGACCTAATGGAGTATTTACTTTGAGTTAGGAGGTTCTTGCATTAGTGTTTTGCCTTAACATAATTTTTAAGATGTAAAAATTTATCTTAATATTTAGCCAATTATCAAATTTATTTTTATTTCAAAAATAACTAGGTCTAGGGGTTTTGGGGTTTTGGGGTTTTGGGGTTTTG